GATGTGTCCACATGTTTAGGCCATCAGTTTTAGAAGCTGGGATCTGGCAGTTCGAGCCTGTAATCTCAGACAGAAATAGGAAGTTATGGTAGAGCATACAGACTAGCGGCTATTTTTGCATTTCATTGAGTGCAGAGTAATTTAAAAATAACATTGGAATTCTAATAATCTCCTACAGTTTGGTCATTAAATGAGTCAAGATTTGACACCTGAAGAACAGCAACAAATCCTGTCCTGAAATACATCCAGGTAAATCAGTATTTGTTAAATACTTACATAGGTTTGAATGTCATTGTTTGCTCGGCAATTATAATACTCTAGATGCAACTCTTCTGGAGAGAAATCTGCAAAACCTGAAAGGAGAGGAATAATCAAAAACTTGCAAGAAAATGTACCAGTACTTCCAATTGCCCTCGATAGTCATGAAGGAACGGGCCTGGGGACATTATCTGTAGTGGTAAGTCCTCAGTCACCATTGGAGACACAAAAAGGGATTCATTACAGAACTTCAAAGACGTGAATGTCCAAAATTAATTTGCCATAATCCAATATTCTTTTCTGTTTCATCACAGGGAAAACGTCACCTTGCAAATGGTTCCACAGAGGTTACAACAGTGTGGAAGAAACATTCTAAATAGCAGGAACATGTGGCAATACTAAAAACATTACCCACCTGAGACATTTGGCTTTTCCTTCATAGGCGAATAAGATGAAAATGGCCACTGCCCCGAAGATTCCCAAATTTCCATGTCTTTCATTACAGATTCACTAGGAAACAAAACAAAACCACAGATGAAGGGGAAACTACATGATCAAACCAAAACCACCAGAAGCAATTGCCTAGTTTGAATCGAAAGTCAGATTCAAATGCAAATCAAAGAAGTGTGACACTAGTCAGAATGAACAGACAAATACTCAGTTCTTTGTTGAAAAAAAGGCAGTTATTTGACAAAACATATAAATGTCCCTTCAAAACTTTTAACTTTATAATCTAACTGCGAATAAATCAAGCCAGATCTTTAAAAAAATCCCCAAATACGCAAATTATTTTTTAATCCTTGTATGTCACATGTTGTCATAGGATTTTTCCTGAAGCTGTAGATGGCAATACAATTTAAAAACTGCTTAATAACAGATGATTTTACAATACAAATGAACATGCAGAGTATTAAAGAGCAAAACTCAGGAAAAAAATAAATAAGTGTTCCATGTAAGTTTTTGGAAAACAATCAAAAGCATAAAAACACAGACATTGCAAAAGCAGAGAAAGAACAGCTAGGTCACCAAAAGTAAATCCAAATGCAAACAAACTGTGAAAGGGTAGAAACTGAGGTGGACAAGCAGAACAACCAAAGAAAGATTCTAAGTATTTCAAATGTTTGTAACACAATATATATTAATGTTTGAGAAGTTAAATAAATAATATTGTTAAGCTTTTTCTTAATGTAAACTTAGTAAAATAATGGAAAGTGGTTCCAAAACCTTACTTTTTCAGAAAATCAGCCTGCTTGTTGCTTTTCATCACCTGCCCTGTCATTGCCTTGAACCACTGGTCACTCTCCACTGACTCTAATTCACATGTTAATATCCATGGGAAACCAGGTTTCAATAGTTTTGCTATTGGCAGAACACTCTGTTATCTTAAGCGTCAGGAAAACTAAGTCAAACTGCTCATTTTCTCAAACAGGCTTTTTAAAAAATGGTTGAAATGCTGTCCAAGGTACTCTGACCCCTTATTGTTGAGTACTGAAATCCTTGTTTTCTTCCTTACCCTTCTGCCCATACCATCTTACTAGTATCACAGTTGTGCAGCTTCCCAAGGGATTGTTTTCTTCCCATGCCAGCAAAGAACCAAAAGAAGTAGTGTTTTCTGTGGTTCTTACTACACATCCCAGCTTTGCCCTCATGATCATGTCCAATGCATTATCTTCAGTAAGTCAATAAGCTTTTAAACTGCTCATTGTAAACACTTTCAGTAAAAAGAACTGTAACTCACAGAAGTCTCTCCTCTTCATCTTTATTGCCATCAGCGATATTTTGACTGCTCGTTAATGCAGAGAATCTGTTCTGTGAAAAGTCTGCATTTCTGCTGCTGCCACCTGATGATCCAAAGTCAGAGGAGCCAAAAAATCCTCTTCCCTGATCTCTGCTGCCACCCCATGTATTAGACTTAAAGGTAGACGGCTGGATAACGTTAGTGTATCTCTGGTTAGTGGTACTCCATCCTCCTCCTCCTCCTCTGCTTGCACCTTCCAATACAAAAACAAACAAACAAATAATAAATCTTAAATCACTAAGATATTAAACAATACAACAGCAACAACAATTGTAAATATAACTATTCTTATAGTGGCAATAAGTTGGAAAAGAAAGCACATTTTTTTTTCCTAATGAGTTAACCTGATTTACATAGTAAGCTTAACCTACAGAGTTACACTGCAAGCAGATGTAATTTTGAACTCCTCACACCACTAACTCGCATGGGAGAGGCTGCCCTGATGATCCTGATGGGTCCTTTTCAACTCAGCATATTCTATGATTCTGTGCTTGTTTCATAAAGTAACTGCCACAGCAGAAAAACAAACAACGAACTCTCAGTGCGTTCACATCAGGGGCTCCTGCTGCACAGCTCAGGCAGGGGCTCGGCCGCACAGGAGGGACCTCCCAGCTTCGTTTGAAGCCACGGACACATCTGTGCGAGCTACAGGCAACGCCAACCTTCCCTCTGCAGATGTGAGGACCGGCAACCGTGTGACTGCGCCTCCGCTCAGTGGCACCCTCATCACACCTCCCGCGCACCGAGACCTTCCAAAGACCCACGCTTAATGACAATTAAAAGAACCTGCACACGACCCGACACGCAGCTGCTTGAGACGCTGCTCTTACAGGCCGAGTCTGCGGAGTCACGTTCACCCTTCCCGCGCTCCTGTGGCACCTTCTGCGCTGCCCTCCCCAGAGCCCCGCGCCGCCAGCGCCCAAACGGACGCTCCGTAATCTGAATTAGGAATACCTCCTTTAACCTTTCTGTTTCTAAATGGCAAGGTAACTTATGACTTAAAAATCCCCTTCTCCCCTTAGGTCCCGGTAGGTTATAATGATGTTTGAAAACATCTTAGCCACTATTATTTTGGGTACAGTAGATTATTCAGATTTGTCATGGGCCTTGCAATTCTATTTTATCATTTTAAGCAAAAGCAGTTTCACTTAAAAAAGTTCTTGCACATTTCAGAGCCTTGAAAGCTCTCAGTGCAGCCCAGCAGCAACAGCCTGCCGAGGCACTCTGAGAAAGACTAAAGGTTTTAGCTCATCACTGAAGTTCAAAAGGAAGCTGCTTTAACCTCTTACATAGCAAAGCAGCAGCACCGAGGCACAAAAGCTCAAAAATCTTGCAGTGGCCTTGTCTCTACTCAAAGCAAGGAGTTTGTAACCTGGTGATCTTTAAGGTCCCTTCCAACCTTAACCATTCTATGGAAAAGACACTACAACTGAGAAAAGATCACTCTGGCACTTGTCAGAGGGAGCCTATTCTTGACTGTGACTTAGAATGTTCTTTTGTTGTTGTTGTTGTTAGAGTACTAACTTAGGAGGCTGAACATTAGGAAAAAACCCACCAGGTACCTGCTTTAAATATGAAACAGAACCAAAATACACTCTTGCCATGCTAGAATGCTGCTTGACTGCAAGTAATTAAAATTGTAGGAACTTTTAAAAAAATCTTGTAGCTTTCTGATACAGTTGGGTTTGAGAACCGCTAAGGCTTCACCAATGTATATTGCAGGTAATGAAATGAGTTCAGGCAGTTCTGGCATTCACTTGACAAACCACAAACATGTTTTTGTTTGGTTGTTGTTAAATGCAAACTTTTTTACAGAAGTGAGGTTAACAAGTTTGTAAAGATGGGGGATTTCTGCAGCTACAATGGTGTGATGGATTTTGGTACGTTCCTCAGTTCATGTGGCAAAATCTGAGTCACTGGCATAAATGATCCAGAGCTAAGTGAGCCCTGACAGATGTACATTTCTTAATTTGTACAAGTCTTAGTGCTGCTCTAGAGACCCCAACTGGAAAAACATATTTCCTAAGAATTAAATGGAACTCCTGGCCAAGGTATCAGTATTTTGCTTGTGAGTTGCAGCAAGCCTGGGACATTAACAATAACAGATGCCTTACTTAGTTTAAAAAATACCAGAAAAATCCATGTCAGCAACCCATGTTTGAAACCTAACATATACAAGTTTCTGGTACATCAGCACTGAGCATATGGACTGAGAAACCTGGATTTCTAGGAAGCCTGCAGAGTGCCTATCCATGGCCTATCATCTTAATACTAAATTTTTTTAGCAGGTCATCTCCTGCCTGAGAACCCCTCAGAGTGGTTCTCCTTAAAGCAGTGGGTGTGTTACTGGACACCCTCCCCTTGGATTGATCTGGTGTCCAAAGGAAATTCCTGGGACTGAGTGCCCTTGCCTCAGAGATGAGTGTGATGCACATTTTTGAGTCATCATCCTAAGCTTAAATTTAGGCTAAACAACACTGTGTAGCCTTAGTTTCCAACTGAACCTGTAAATAAGTTGTGTCTGACAAACCTTTTGTAATAGAAGAGTTCCTCCCAGTTTGACTGTCCAACCTTCTTCCTAATGCCATTAAATTAATTTTGAGATCTGTATTTAATTAGTGTTACACTTCCACAACAATTCTTCACCAAAGCACTCTAACTTTTGACAAAGCCTTTTTAATATAGTTTCACAGTACAGAATATAAAATGGAACTTTAAATTTTATTTTCATTAGTTCATTTCTTGGATGTAAAAGGTCTGTTCCAAAATGGGAATGATAAAATAGTGTTAAAATATTTTATCCCTGCAAGTTTATTATTGCAGAAGGCTTAGAAATTAAAATGAAATTAACTCAAATGGAAACATTCTATTTCATTACTCAACCACCAAATTGTGTAGTAGAGATATCAGAGAGATGACAAAACCACATTAGTTCAGAATGAATTCAAAAGTCCAAAACATTTAAAAGTTCTAATGGTGGTGGCTTAAGAGGAATCTTTCCCAATGTAAACTTTTTTGCTTCAAATTGTTTCAACTCTTCAGCTGATAATTCACTCTTTAGTGTAAATAATTTTTCTGATACAGTATTGTTTGTGACTGCAGAAGATGCTGATGTGATATTAAGTCCAAAGGCACTGGCAGTCTGTCCACTGCTCGAATGTGAGGGAGAAGCTGCAGCATTAAAAGCTCCAAAGCCTGTAAATGAAGCGGTGCTTGAAGAGTTCACAGCAGAACTGCCAAACCCCGAAAAGCCAGAAGCTCCAAAACCACTAGTTGTTCCAGAAGTCTTAAATGAGAAGGAGGATGCAGACGGAGCCACGGGGCTGCCAAAACCAACAGAATGGGAGAGGGTAGGAGAGGACGTCATACCAAATGCAGGAGGATTACAACCTGCAGAAGAGCTCCCAAAAGCAGGGGTGTTTCCAGATGATGCATTGACAAGGCTGGAGCTTGGTTTAAAGGAGAAACTGCTAGCACTGCTGCTGCTGTTCACAGGAGAGGCTGCAATTATAAGATTTGTAACAAAAAGTTAGCATGTGCACACCTGTGACACTAAACCTCTGCTGCATTTAAATAACATGGAAGAAGAAAAACACAAGAAAACATTTAACTGTTGGTTCTTAATGTAGGAACTTACTTGGCACCCCAAAGCTTGATGTTTGCTGTTCTCCAAATCCGAAGGCAGGCAACGGTTGAGTGACTGTGTTCTTCAACTCAGACAGCTTAAAAAAAATTCCAAATACTTAAATGAAAACGAGATTCCCAAACAGAAAAATATCTTTCAATAAATACTTGAAGGAAAAATAGAGCTGCTCAGTCCAATTTAACAACACGTAGACTACGTTAGACACTGATCACTTGCATCACCATTGCACGCTCCTGCAGCCATGAACAAAATGCTTTAAGGCTGTAACTCTTCTCTGCAAAACAAGCTAGAAACAAATATATTACAATATACAAATTTTTGTTTGTCGGTCAAAGACCTGAACACCTTTCTGAGCTCTTCTTCTCATCTCTCACCTATTTCAGGTAGTGCTTTATGACCCCATAGAATCATAGAATGTTTGGGTTGGAAGAAACCTTTAGAGATCATCTAGTCCAGCCCCCTGCAATAAGCAGGGACATCTTCAACTGGATTGGGTTGCTATTTATGTCATTGCTTTGACTTCTTAGTCTGTTGTCTCACTTTGACTCATCTAGTCTTCTGTGCTAAAGCACAAATCCCACTTCACCTTCAGCAGTGAACAGAGCATGGTTTGGGTTGGAAGTGACCTCAAAGATCCCCTGGTTCTAACCCCCCTGCCATAGGTAGTTTCCCACTAGACCAGGTTGCTCCAAGCCCCATCCAACCTGGCCTTAAACGCTTCCAGAGATGGGGCAACCACAACTTACCTGGGCAACCTGTTCCAGTGTCTCACCACCCTCACAGTGAAAAATTTCTTCCTAATGTATAACCTAAATCTCCCTTCTTCCAGTTTTCAGCCATTACCCCTTGTCCTATCAGTCCCTCCCCAGCTTTCCTGCAGGCCCCTTCATGTACTGGAAGGCCACTATAAGGTGTCCCTGGAGCCTTCTCTTCAACAGGCTGAACACCCCTAACTCTCTCAGCCTGTCTTCACAGGAGGTGTGCTTTAGCCCTCTGATCACCTTTGTGGCCCTCCTCTCTATTTGCTCCAACAGCTCCATGTCCTTCTTATATTGTGGGCCCCGGAGGGCCCAAGGGGTATGATCATATTACTAAGACTTTAATGCACTTCATGCAGACTCAAATTAACTTACTCCGTTTCCCTGATTATTTGCTATTGGCTTTAACTGAAGCCTTCTGACGCATCTAGATTCACAAGAGTATGTCACCTTCCCAGGAACAACTACTCTCTGTATCTTCAAATTTTACCCAGGGTTCTCTCCCACCCATCTATCAATTTCTCATTCTGGTAACACCAAATCTTTGTATTTATCCTAAGATGGCTAGAGGACAATTCTGGTCTTGTCTGCTGATTATGCCTTCGAAAATTAAAATCAGCACATGGGAAAAAACAGTGGAGTGGGTATTTTCCTCTTAAGATACATGTACTCAAATGGTTCCCAAAACCTAAAGCTATGCTTATTTTCATATGGCTTGCAATGCTAGCATTCCAAACCTCAGATCCAGCTGCTGTCCTGCTAACATGGAACCACCCTGATTCATTGCTTTCCTTAATTAACTAAAGGGTTTTATAACACCTGCCTGCAATTCACTGATTTTTTGATTCCAGAGAAAAGTAGATGTAAGACCCAAAACTGTGTTCACACACTTTCACAGTCATCTGACTCAGGCAGTGCTAGAATATTCAGTCACATTTCTATTGCCTATAAAAAAAACAAATCAGATGGAGAGGTGGGGAGGTTTTCAAATGGAAATCATTATTCCCTTATGCAATTCCACCTTACACCCTTTCCATTTTCTCTTAATGTTCCCAGGAGTGTTCTAAGAATACTGTCAAAGTCTTCGTGCTGCCAGTCAGCCAAACACTTCCACACTGGATGTTTTTCAAGGCTTCAGTGCCAGACTGTAATACATCTTAGTTGAGGTTTTCAGAACAGTTCACAGATCTACCACAAAATTGCCAATGGACCTCGGAACCAAACATTTTCATATCTCAGCTATTTGGGTGCAAACTAGCATGCCCTAAGAGAATAATGTATATTTGCTTGTAAAAATATAGTATCCTTCTATCTTCAAAGCAATACCTATCACCTATTTATATAGTTAGAACTGTAGTTAAATGCTTTGGTAACAGCTGAAGTTTCTCCTAAACAACTGGGAGATCTCCTTATTAGAAACAAGGTGGTATATTTCAACTTCCATGTCTGACAAGTCTTTGTAGCAGAAATTAACCTTGGCATTTGCAGGACAGTTTGGTGGGATGTATATGAAATAACATGAATCTAAGAAAAACATTTGCCCAAGATTAATAAAATGATGACATCAACAACAGAAACATGTTACCTTTCATTAGCACTTACCAAAGCTGCTTTTGATGCATTTGAAGTTTTCAGCTGAAACAGTCTTTTTTTCCACTGTTTTGCTAACTCCTGGACAGAATCTATCTAAGAAGGGCAAAAATAAAGCAATGTTTTATTATTGGTGAAGACTTTAAAAAATAATCAAAATAGAGTGATCTGACAACTAAACCAAAAGATTTGTAGAATTAGAAAAGAAACTTCATTACATCAAAATGACAAGATTTTTGCTTTCCTGAAACTTCAAGGTGAGAAGCTGAAACTTTTGTTATTAACACTATTACCCTTAAATGAACTTTTTAGCTTCATGTAACAGATTAAAAAAAATGTCCTGGGACTTTCTACATGAAAATTCAATCACTATCTGAATTAGGTGCTTGAAAAAAATCCCCAAAACAACAAACACACTAAATATGTAAGTTTTAAGTACAAGAGAATAAACTCTTCAATCCCTGTTTTATTTCTGTCTTGTCTACTTATGTGCTCACTCATTAGGTTCTAAGATTAAGTTCTAAGATTTGCCTTAGCTTCTTCCACATTTTCAGAAAAAAAATTGCCCACTTTCACAACACTGTAATTCAGAACACTTGTAACAGTATCATCCTGAATTAACTTTGCAGAAATTAATTTTTTTAATTTAAATAATCCCCTTTAATGTGATTCAATAGATTACTGCTCAGCACATACGCAGCACTAAATAGTACCTGTATCTGTCTGTCTGATAACTATGATTAAAGGATTAATCAAGAAATTGGAAAATCATTTGCTCCTTTTTCAGGAATTTCTAACATGAATTTCCTATATTTATCAACACAGCTTATTTGAAGCCTGGCCTAATTGAATTTTCCTTAAAAACTAACCAAGTAAAACACATAATGCCCCAAATGCCTGTAAGAGTGGAACGAGTAATCTTTTTGTAAATAAATTCCTTAATTTTTCAAAAGGGTCTTAGATCACAAACATCAATAATTCTTTTGTGTCTAGTCACATGCCAGAAGATCACGTTGCTTGGGATCAGCTCTTACACAAGAGACTGGAAAATTCAGATTTTGACCCAGTTTAAGAATAGAAACACACACTTTGAAAAAGACATGTTGTACTTAAACGTTTGCCGAGAGAACTGTGTCATACTGTTATCATCTATATGCTGAGACTTTTAAGAACTTCAACATGTCAGTAAGACCACAAATGTCTTTTTTTTAACAGCCAAGCATACTGTATTGTTTCATCATTTCAGTGTGCTTTTTTTAATTTAAGAGGGGGTTTGGTTTTGTGAGTTTTTTTAAATTAATCTCTCTTCTGTCTCTGAAAATGCAATTCTGGTAACTCTAAATATGTGAAGCAAGAGTGGTGACAACAACCATTTCTTCTGCATAATACAGAACCAAGGGGAAGAGGAAACAGAGCAATGTAGCTCAGTTTAGTTTGTACTTTTGTCCATCCAGTAGCCTAAGTCCTTTTCTAACAAAACATTAAACTGCACTGGTTTCCTTGATGTTGATAGGACTATGAGAGAGGAACAATACATCTAAATAGGTATTTACATAAAAACATACATATTACTTCCTTTCTAGGAACTTGTATACTTCTTTAAATGTACCTATTCTTTTCAGCATTTATCCCATACAATAAAGAGATGTAAAAAGAGTAAGGTCCAATAAACTTGCCCAGTCTTCTACCTAAAACATTATATACCCAGATACAACAATCAAAGACCATACAGAACATTAAACTTCTGAGACAGGACTTCTACAAGTCCTTCTAATAACTTCTACAAATAACACACAAGAACCAGGACAAGCCTAAGACAAGGAGTGTCCAGACTAAGAAAAGAACATATGTTTAATTAAGACTAGCTAAAAATCTATTGCCACCACTTTTTGTAGGAGCTGATGTGTCCACATGTTTAGGCCATCAGTTTTAGAAGCTGGGATCTGGCAGTTCGAGCCTGTCATCTCAGACAGAAATAGGAAGTTATGGTAGAGCATACAGACTAGCGGCTATTTTTGCATTTCATTGAGTGCAGAGTAATTTAAAAATAACATTGGAATTCTAATAATCTCCTACAGTTTGGTCATTAAATGAGTCAAGATTTGACACCTGAAGAACAGCAACAAATCCTGTCCTGAAATACATCCAGGTAAATCAGTATTTGTTAAATACTTACATAGGTTTGAATGTCATTGTTTGCTCGGCAATTATAATACTCTAGATGCAACTCTTCTGGAGAGAAATCTGCAAAACCTGAAAGGAGAGGAATAATCAAAAACTTGCAAGAAAATGTACCAGTACTTCCAATTGCCCTCGATAGTCATGAAGGAACGGGCCTGGGGACATTATCTGTAGTGGTAAGTCCTCAGTCACCATTGGAGACACAAAAAGGGATTCATTACAGAACTTCAAAGACGTGAATGTCCAAAATTAATTTGCCATAATCCAATATTCTTTTCTGTTTCATCACAGGGAAAACGTCACCTTGCAAATGGTTCCACAGAGGTTACAACAGTGTGGAAGAAACATTCTAAATAGCAGGAACATGTGGCAATACTAAAAACATTACCCACCTGAGACATTTGGCTTTTCCTTCATAGGCGAATAAGATGAAAATGGCCACTGCCCCGAAGATTCCCAAATTTCCATGTCTTTCATTACAGATTCACTAGGAAACAAAACAAAACCACAGATGAAGGGGAAACTACATGATCAAACCAAAACCACCAGAAGCAATTGCCTAGTTTGAATCGAAAGTCAGATTCAAATGCAAATCAAAGAAGTGTGACACTAGTCAGAATGAACAGACAAATACTCAGTTCTTTGTTGAAAAAAAGGCAGTTATTTGACAAAACATATAAATGTCCCTTCAAAACTTTTAACTTTATAATCTAACTGCGAATAAATCAAGCCAGATCTTTAAAAAAATCCCCAAATACGCAAATTATTTTTTAATCCTTGTATGTCACATGTTGTCATAGGATTTTTCCTGAAGCTGTAGATGGCAATACAATTTAAAAACTGCTTAATAACAGATGATTTTACAATACAAATGAACATGCAGAGTATTAAAGAGCAAAACTCAGGAAAAAAATAAATAAGTGTTCCATGTAAGTTTTTGGAAAACAATCAAAAGCATAAAAACACAGACATTGCAAAAGCAGAGAAAGAACAGCTAGGTCACCAAAAGTAAATCCAAATGCAAACAAACTGTGAAAGGGTAGAAACTGAGGTGGACAAGCAGAACAACCAAAGAAAGATTCTAAGTATTTCAAATGTTTGTAACACAATATATATTAATGTTTGAGAAGTTAAATAAATAATATTGTTAAGCTTTTTCTTAATGTAAACTTAGTAAAATAATGGAAAGTGGTTCCAAAACCTTACTTTTTCAGAAAATCAGCCTGCTTGTTGCTTTTCATCACCTGCCCTGTCATTGCCTTGAACCACTGGTCACTCTCCACTGACTCTAATTCACATGTTAATATCCATGGGAAACCAGGTTTCAATAGTTTTGCTATTGGCAGAACACTCTGTTATCTTAAGCGTCAGGAAAACTAAGTCAAACTGCTCATTTTCTCAAACAGGCTTTTTAAAAAATGGTTGAAATGCTGTCCAAGGTACTCTGACCCCTTATTGTTGAGTACTGAAATCCTTGTTTTCTTCCTTACCCTTCTGCCCATACCATCTTACTAGTATCACAGTTGTGCAGCTTCCCAAGGGATTGTTTTCTTCCCATGCCAGCAAAGAACCAAAAGAAGTAGTGTTTTCTGTGGTTCTTACTACACATCCCAGCTTTGCCCTCATGATCATGTCCAATGCATTATCTTCAGTAAGTCAATAAGCTTTTAAACTGCTCATTGTAAACACTTTCAGTAAAAAGAACTGTAACTCACAGAAGTCTCTCCTCTTCATCTTTATTGCCATCAGCGATATTTTGACTGCTCGTTAATGCAGAGAATCTGTTCTGTGAAAAGTCTGCATTTCTGCTGCTGCCACCTGATGATCCAAAGTCAGAGGAGCCAAAAAATCCTCTTCCCTGATCTCTGCTGCCACCCCATGTATTAGACTTAAAGGTAGACGGCTGGATAACGTTAGTGTATCTCTGGTTAGTGGTACTCCATCCTCCTCCTCCTCCTCTGCTTGCACCTTCCAATACAAAAACAAACAAACAAATAATAAATCTTAAATCACTAAGATATTAAACAATACAACAGCAACAACAATTGTAAATATAACTATTCTTATAGTGGCAATAAGTTGGAAAAGAAAGCACATTTTTTTTTCCTAATGAGTTAACCTGATTTACATAGTAAGCTTAACCTACAGAGTTACACTGCAAGCAGATGTAATTTTGAACTCCTCACACCACTAACTCGCATGGGAGAGGCTGCCCTGATGATCCTGATGGGTCCTTTTCAACTCAGCATATTCTATGATTCTGTGCTTGTTTCATAAAGTAACTGCCACAGCAGAAAAACAAACAACGAACTCTCAGTGCGTTCACATCAGGGGCTCCTGCTGCACAGCTCAGGCAGGGGCTCGGCCGCACAGGAGGGACCTCCCAGCTTCGTTTGAAGCCACGGACACATCTGTGCGAGCTACAGGCAACGCCAACCTTCCCTCTGCAGGTGTGAGGACCGGCAACCGTGTGACTGCGCCTCCGCTCAGTGGCACCCTCATCACACCTCCCGCGCACCGAGACCTTCCAAAGACCCATGCTTAATGACAATTAAAAGAACCTGCACACGACCCGACACGCAGCTGCTTGAGACGCTGCTCTTACAGGCCGAGTCTGCGGAGTCACGTTCACCCTTCCCGCGCTCCTGTGGCACCTTCTGCGCTGCCCTCCCCAGAGCCCCGCGCCGCCAGCGCCCAAACGGACGCTCCGGCCGACGGCCCGAGGCCCCGGGACAGGCCCCGGGACAGGCCCCGGGGGTCCCACCGCCCCCACC